TGTTTTTCTCCTCTTCCGTGACTGTTAATCTGTTTATCTTTACTTTCTCCCCTGGATCCCAGCTTCTCATCAGTTCACTCAGCTCACTCCTTGCCCTGTGCTATTTCTCTCTGGTTGGAAGCTCCTCCTTCTCCCGCCCTAGAGCAGTACAAATGCTTGACCTTTCCTTCCTATTTTAAGTGCCTTTGAAGTTTTAAGGTACTCAAAACTGTGTGTTTCTGTTACTAATAGACGAGTTGTGTCAGGTTTATACTGTCCCAAGGGTTCCTCCTCTTTACATTTGTACTTGGGACAGTAGTTACTAGCCTGACCACATCTTTGATAGAGAAGTATCCATTCCAAATACTGTTCCTTTATCACTATTTTTTTTTTTTAGTATAGAATTGTGTTTGGGCCATTTTAGGGCATGTGATAATTGTGGCTCTTCTATTGTGTAGGAACGGGATTTTCCAACAGAAACTGTTAAGTTTGGTCCTGAACGCATGTACATTGATAGCTGGGTCAAGAAACATACCTATGACACTTTCAAGGAGGTTCTTGGATCAGGGCTGCAGTACCACTTGCAGGTGAGTTGACACCCTGGCTTTAATGGGGAGCGGGGTGGAGTCCCAGGGCTGGCCTAGCTGATTATCGGGACGCACGCAGGCATTAGAGAGCAGTAAGCGTGACTGGTGCTCTCTGAGGGCACATGACTTCACATGGCTTCACGTGCTTTCCCGAGGACTTAGGGACTTAGAAAACTCCTTATGCTCGTACCAAGAAAACAGACCAGCATGTCACCTACTTGGTTCACTGTGTGCAGTGAGGTAGACACTCTGTTCTGTTTCCTCTAGACAAATGAGTTCCTGCGCAGTGTGTTTGAGCTTGGGCCCCCGGTGATGCTCGATGCTGCAACACTTAAGACCATGAAGATTTCTCGTTTCGAAAGGGTGGGTTTGTTTTTGATTTTTGATTTGTAGAACTAAATGTACAGCTACTCTCCAGTCATCGAGTTCTTTCGCCTTTGAAGAGAAACGGAACCAGTGCTCTTACTCTGCCTGGCTGTAGAAATGTGTGCATGTTTCTGTTGTCCTGGGCAGTTACTTGGTGAGATCCAGGCTCTTTTTACAGAAGAGTGTGCACCATGAAATAGTGATTGGCATTGTTTCCTTTTTACCATTTCAGAAATTGTTAAGTATAGTTTGGGTTTTTATTGGTGAGACTTACCTAACAGTTTTAATGTATTTAAATTTATTATAACCCAGGATGATGTACACCTGTTTTCTCACGAGTTTCTTTGTGATTCTTATCTCTTCCCCTAGTTTGTTTCTAAGAATGTGTTCTTTTATTGATCCATGTGCATTTTTATCTCTTCCTCTAGTTTGTTTATTTGAGAATATGTTCTCTTACTGATCCATGTGTGTTTTTCTTTTATTTCAGCATTTATATAACTCTGCAGCTTTCAAAGCCCGAACAAAAGCTCGAAGCAAATGCCGAGATAAGAGAGCAGATGTTGGAGAATTCTTCTAGATGTCTGCATTTGCTGGCTGTTTTATAATTTCTTCCTTTATTATTATTTTTGCTACTTCTAATGTATATAAGCTTTTAGAAACAATTTTTTATCTTGAGATCAACTTTGATAATTTTTGATTAGGGGTGAATTATATTTTAATTTAATGTTACAGTGTTATAAGTTAATGAGTTCTGTTTATTAAATATTCTCTGTAAAAATAATTGGTAACCACAAATAAAGTGTTTATGCTGTATGGTCATGGTATTTTGCAGCAAGAAAAATTAGCAGGCAAAGGTTGACTTATTTACACTGTGTTCGTCAGAAGCACTGACAGGCTATGATCATTCACACAGAGTTTACTTGACACGTATACTTTTGGGGAATGAATTCCTCTGGAAAAGCTACTATATTAAGTTTAAGGGGAAGGTGGTCACTGTTGTGTCAGTGGGCTCATCACAAGGCATTCCATGCTGCACTCAAGCCCTTGTGTTGAGACCTTGGAGTTCATGTTATAATTAGCTTATGCCAGAAAGTCTACCAACCTTTTTGTCCCTAAGAGCTATGAGTAGGACATGCTGTATGAAACCTGTGCTTTTCCCTTGGGAATAAAGGGCTTTTCCCACGGAAAGTGCTTATTTCGTAATAGAAGAAACACTGTTTATGACTGACATAGAACAAGTCGAGCCAAGCAGGGAGTGAGACAGCTCTCTGTGTATTTGGAAGCAAAACGAGACAAAGCTGAGTATTCAGACACTGAGATGATGAAATGTCGCATATACAACCTGAACATCGGTTAGCCAACTTAAAACATCTGCCTTGGTGGCCCTTCCTGGCATAAGTACATAAGACATTGTCATTAATTAATCTACATGGATTTAACCATGTGCAGTTGGGTGCGTGGGTTTGTTTCCTTGATGCAGAGGGTGGGGCTAGGAAGCATGCCACCTAAGGTGTTTTCTCCCTAATGCCCCAACAAGCTAGAAGGTCTGATAATCCTAGGGGGATATCTGGCTGGTGCCTCTTCAACCCTTAGAACAGTGCAGTGGGGAACGCACTGGAATCTAGAACGTGGCCTTGTATATTGTATAGGCTGGAGTCATGGGAAACACTGTCGATAGAATTTCTCTGCCTACATTTGCAGTTTTGCAGATGTGTATGTTTTCTGTGACTTCCCACGTGTGTGTTCACAAGTGTTATTCTCAGGATCCATCATCTTTTCCTGCAATCAGAATCCTGCCTCCACCTCTCTGCTGTTGGGACTGGCCAGTTTACATGTGGGGTCTGAGTATCAATCAAGACTTGGGCTTTCCAGGCCAGAATTTCACCCCCTGTCCTGTATATATGTCTTAACGAGTTCATCAAGTGAAACATAGTCCAAGGCTTACTATAAACCCAGCTTCTCCCTGTAGTCCGTCAGGCACCACTCACCTTCACCGTAGGGCTTCAGTTTGCGGTTTCTCAAATTTATTTATGCATTGGTAGCAGTTTCTTGGTTTCTTGTCTTTAGCCATTAGTTGGCTTTTAAGCGAAAAGTTCTCAAATCAGTGTATTTTTTCCCCTAAAGTGGTATTTACTTGTCTTGGATTTCCCACATACCGGGTGCTGCCACTAGTTCTTCCTGACCAACTTGGTTCTCTAGCAGTGAGTGTAGGTTAGTGTCTCTCACCCAAGTGTACAACTATTTTTGAAACGAGATGATTTGGGTTTGTTTCCAAATCAGAGTCCACACCCACACCATCTTCCCTGGTGACATTCTTGGAGTGATGTACCTCCTGTAGTTTATTAGCCACGAATACAAAAGGGGTCATTAAGATCTCTGAAAGCTAGTTTGACTTGAATTCTTGCGGAGAGAAACGTTCCAATTAAACTTTGAATAATCAATTTTGAAAGGTTTGCTCTGTTCTGATGTGTAAAATGTTGAGAAATGAGTTTTTTTGTGTTTTGCACTTAAAATGGGTTACATGGTAGATACATCCTTGGAGGGCTGGGCAATCGGAGACAAATTTTTCTTATTATTTTATTACTTTAAATACCAATTCAAATTCCCACTCCATCCACACACCCTCTTACTCCTCCCCCCTCCAATCCTAAGAAAGTATAAGGCCCTTTCTATTGCATCTAGGTTGAGCAACGTATGCATCCAAAGAGAATAGGATCCCAAAATGCCAGTACGAGTAGTAGAGACAAATCCCAGTGCCAGCTACTCAGTCTACCCCAACTGTCAACCACATACAGAGGGACTAGTTTGATCCCATGTTCTTTCACTCCCAGTCCAGCTGGAGTTGGGGAGTTCCCATAAGCTCAGGTAAACTCTCAGTGGGTGAACCCCTCGTGGTCTTGACCTCCTTGCTCCTTGCTCATACTCACTCCTTTCACTCTTCAACTGGATCTTGGGAGCTCAGTCCAGTGCTCCAATGTGGGTCTCTGCCTCTGTTTCCATCGGTTGAATGAAGGTTCTGTGGTGATATTTAAGATAACCATCAGTCTGACTATAGGGTAAGGCCAGTTCAGACACCCTCTCCTCTATTGCTTAGGGTCTTAGTTGAGGTCATCTTTGTAAGATTGTCCTTTTTTACTGTGTTAATTCTACCTACCCAAGAGCATGGGAGCTCTTTTCATTTTCTGGTGACTTGTTCAATTTTAGAAATGAAAATGCTTATCCCACACTTGAGTTTACAAAGATGGAAACTTGAATAAATCATTGAGTAATTTCTGCTGATAGATTTCTGGAAACCTGATGTGTAAAACAGAGGTGACAGCAGTGAAGTGGTATGTGGCTGGCCAGCCAACCACTGGTTCTCAGCCTGAAGGCAACCAACAATGCATGTCTTGACTCTATGGTGGCATTCATTGGATTTCCTGGGAATTGAATCTGAATATCATGAGCGACATTTAAAAGAAATAGCAAGGGATCCTTGAAAATGTCCCCAGAATAGACAATTTACATGACAATATTTTCTTCTGATTCAAAATTCTCCAAGCAGCTTTTCAGACATTCGAGAAGCTGCCCTGTTCCCGACTAGTCATTTTCCAGGACTCTGACCAAAGCCAGCCACCTTCAGACGGGTGTGACTGGATGCCGCTTACCCTCTGGTGATGGAGTTCTTAGGCTCTGTATTTCCTATCTCTAGAGGGTTAATTAATACTTGAGGATTAGAAAATTAGAGAAAAGGGGGGGAACCGTGATCAAGAAATGAAGCAGGTAGTTAGGCAAATGATACGGGATCTGAGGCAAAATGGGTAATTAGGGTTTTGTTTCCTGACCTGCAGGACAAGCTGATGAGAGCACCTTATCCGTTATGATAGTTTGAAATCTATTAGTTTAAAATATGTGACACTTCTGGTCCAAAATTATCAACTGCATAGTCTTGGTTCTCAAAATGAGAATTACTGTCCCCCGAAAGTTAATTATGTCCCTAAAGGAAACACCGTAAGGGAACTGGAATGGAACACATGGAACACATGGAACACATACTCCAACGGTTCTGAAGCGGAGTGATGAGCAGGCCGTTACGGCAAGGTAAGGCAGACCATAAACAAGTCTTCCCAGCCTCACGGAGCAGCCCCAGATCCGGCACCGGCAGCTTGCGGGCAGCGGTTCTCCACTGTCCACCAGGGGGCAGAGCTGCTCGGCACAGATGGAAGAGAAACAAGACTGGTTTTCCCAAGAGGCAGATGCGTGACTAAGCGGAGAAGAAATCACCTTGGAAGGAATGATGAAATGTGTAATCTTTGCACTCACACTCTCGGTAGCTAATTGGAGGCCCTGAGTCCCGGACCTGCTGCTCTAGTTTAGATCTTTCAAAACCTCCCTGAAGGCAAGTGTTGAAAGCTTGCTCAGTCGCCAGCCTGTGGCACCACGGGGGAAATGGTGGACCTCTAGGTGGGGGACCTTTAGGTGAAAGGCAAGTCGTTGGAATCATGCTCCTGAAGGGCATCCTAGGACCCGGCCCTTGTTCTCCTTTGCTTCTTGGCTGCTATGGGACAAAGCCGTTTGCTTCTGCTGTGCCTACTACTGTGTTTTCTCTTGCTGCAAGCCCGGGCTAGAGATCTGCAGCTGTGGGCTAGAACAAACCTTCACTCTCTCTAACAGCGGGCTCATTTGGGATCCTCTGATAATGGGTGGAAAGCTAACACACCGGCCACCCGTCTAGCTGTGTTATCACAACTATTCTTCCTGTTTTCTGCTGCTCTCCGGTCGGTCTGGAGTCCCTGCACGCCAGCTGTCACCCTGGTAGCGCCAGCCCGTGGCAGGGTCCTAATACACAGGAGCCTACCAGAGTAGAAGTGTTGGGGGTGTTCTGTCAGCTGCCTCAGGCCAGCCACGCCCACCGAGTAAGGACCTTTGGCTTCAATTTAATAAGAACCACATTAGTTACCAACAGAATCAAGGCTTGGTGGTTCGTTGTGGTAAAGCCAAAGTTTCAGTAATGCATATCTAAATTCTCAGACATTACGGGGGAATCTTGCATTGCGTGGCTAAGTTAACACTAAATATAGACCCACCAGTTATGTGCTGGGCTTATGGGCCTCATGGGAGCCCTTGTGAGCAGTAGGAAGATCAAAGGACAGAATTGGTAGAAAGTTTTGCTGTTGTTGCTCCCGAGTAGTAGTCTTTCCCTGGCAACTGAACAGTCAGCTCACGTTTTCGTAAGTAATTTGCATGCTCTTTCATCCTGAAACTGAGCGATGATTCTTGAGTCCTGGGGGCATTCATTGCATGGCCCTGCGCTTTTTGACTTCTCGTAGAAAAGATGTAGACTTGATTTTAAAGATTGTTTCCTGAATCGAGTGAACTCAGGAGTGCCGTTCACAAGTGGCTGCGACTCACTCAACAAAGCATCTCGTTAAGCTTTGAATTCAGTCTCAATGGCGTTCTGAGTTTGAAGCGTGCAATGTGGTGTGAGTTATTTTTCTGTCTGGACACCAACGCGTGCAGGGGGAGTGCAGATTCTTGTTTTTTTCAGAGACTATTTTCATTTGTCCAAATATCTATTGGTCGAAAATCAAGCAGCTATTCAATGACAAAAGGTTCAGCTGTTAGCCGTGACCAAGAGCACAGGAAAACGAGATTACTTACGCGTCTCAGCTCCAGGATTAGAAAGGCTTCCATGAAAGGCTGCTGCTTTGGCCATTGGTGAGTCAGTGGAACTGCATGGTGGGGTGGTGCAGGAGGGCCAGGTTAGTGTGACACCCAATGGGTAATGATACTCTGCACCAGTCTTGATGGTTGCTCCCGAATGCCCTCATTCCAGCTGCCAAAGATAGCAATCATGGGCGGGCGTCAACAGCTGTGGGTTCTGGTTTTCAGGACATGTGACCTTGTATCCGCTCACTAGCAGAGTCACTCAGGAGCCCTGCGTCCCCTAACCCTGTTTTCCTCACTAGTTTGTCTTTTACCATGGCACAATGCTGAAATACATCTGCTGATGTTGTGAGCTCGAGCTCACTGTAAAGATTTTCTTGCAATCCATTATTTACTTGGGTTGTCTTAGCTAAAAAAAAAAAAAAAACTTCCAAATTTATGACAGATTTTATTTTAAGTTATGTGCATGTTGGGGGAGGGTGCATGCTCACGTCCCAGTGCTTACATGGAGGTCAGAGGACAACCTGCAAACTTGCAGGAGTCCTTTCTCATTGAACCAGATGAAGGAGGTTGAATCCAGGCTGCGAGGCTTAGTGCCTTCTATCCCTGCGTCCCTTGCATTTCTTGGCATCACTTTCTTAGTCTGCGGCAAGGCTAGTAAATTTTATTACCTGCACTATTACTCTGAAAATGGGACTTTTTAGCAATTTTTCTAGCTCCTTTGTAAACAGTTTTGTTTGCTTGTTTGTTTGTTGTTGTTTTGCAACAGCACTGACATTCCTGAGGGTGAAATGGGAGCTCGAGGATACTAAGTTAGACTCAGAAATGAACTGTGTCTCCATTACCATGCCCAAAATAGAAGCTGTGTTTGCAACAATGATCCCACCACCTGACACATACAGATTTTTTTCCCCCTGGTCCAAAAGAAAAAAAAATAATGTTTGGGATAATAAGGTCTACAGAGATGATGAAACAGAAAACACTTGTAGAAGGTGGATGAGCGCCAGGTACCTAGGCAGCCATCAGCACTTGGAGGGCGTGGTCACCCACAGAGGGGTGAGGTTTGCTAGCTGAAGCACTTTCACCCCTGATTGCTGCTGCTTTTGCTTCCAGTTGTACCCTGTCAATCATTCCCTTAGGATCGCTCCATGGAATATACTTGAAATTCAATCACTTCAATATTTTAGCATGCTTGGCATTGCCCCAATGCATGCAGTGCACTGTGCATTCTTCCCAATTAAAAATTCAGGAAGACGGAAACTACAAGAAGTGCGTGACTTTCTGAGCATAGGGTGTTTCTTAGCTAGGGATCCGTGGGCACGGTTTACACAAGTGCCACGAAATTGTAGGTGCCACTGGGCAATCACTGGACTTTTGTTCTTTTTTAAAGACATTTTTTAAAATTTTTAAACATTTATTTATTTATTATGTATATAATGTTAAAAGAAGTCATTGGATCTCATAGATGGTTGTGAGCCACCATGTGGTTGCTGGGAATTGAACTCAGCACCTCTGGAAGATTAGTCAATGATCTTAGCCTCCGAGCCATCTCTCCAACTCTGACATTTTTTATTTTTTATTATTATTATTGTGTGTGTGTGTGTGTGTGTGTGTGTAAACCACATGTGTGTAGGTGCTCACAGAGGGCAGAGCAGGAGGCCAGGTCCCCTGGAGCTGGAGTTAAAGGTGCTTGAGAGCTGCCTGATCTCAGCACAGGGAACCAGACTCAGGTCTGGAAGAGCAGCAGGCTTCCCTAACAGCTGAGCCATTTCTCCAGCCCTGAGGTTTTTTTTTTGATTCTTAATAGTGTAGTTTAAGTGTGTGATACTTTCCCCCAGATTCTCCATGGCTATATTAGCACCTTCCCCCCATTTATTTTCTCCCATCTCTACAGTTGTTTTCATTCAGTGGTTGGGTCTTGAGAGAAATCTTTTCAGAAGGATGGTATCAGGAAGAAATCTGTCACCACTTACAGCAGGCACAACATTCATGGCCTCCTGCTCCCTCTCAGAATTATTTTATTTATGGTGTTTGTATGTCTAAGCATGTGCACGTGAGTGCATGTGAGTGACTCCCAGAGAGGGAGCCGGGTCCACTGAAGCTGGACTTACCAATGGTTGTGAGCCACCAGACATTGGCAGTTAGAACTGCACTCCGAGGGCAGTACTCTCTCAGAATGTCTGAGCCTTATCTCTAGCCTCGGCCTTGACTTTCTAAAATGCTTTCTAGACCCCAGACCTTATATCACCCACTCACTCGCTTTATGGAAGGAAGAAGACAAAAGCTTTCTTAGTCATTAAGTTTTGGAAGCCTTCTTTTCACTTCTTTCCATGGCCCATGATCTCCTATGTTAGATTGTGCATATATGTGTCTGCATGTATATGTGTGCGTGATGTGTTTGTGTGCGTGGTGTGTATGTGTGTGTGCTGTGTATGTGTGGTGTGTGGTGTGTATGTGTGGTTGTGTATGATATGTGTGTGGTGTGTGTGCGTGTGGTGTGTGTGATCTTTGTGTGTGGTGTATACATGTGTGCTGTGTGTATGTGTGGTGTTTGTGTGTGTGGTATTTGTGTGTGTGGTGTGCATGTGTGTGGTGTGTATATGTATACTGTGGCTGTGTATGTGTGGTGTGTATATGTGTGTGGTGTGTGTGTGTGTGTGGTGTGTGTGTGCGCATGCGTACTCGCTCATGTAGGCAGGAAGTCAATGTCAGTTGTCTTCCTCTGCCACTCTGTACGTTATGTTTGGGACAGGGTCTCTCTCACCCTGGAGCTCACAGCCTTGGCTCGACTGACCGGCCGTGAACCCCTTTGATCTGCTTGTCTCCACCATTCCCCATCGCTGGGGCTGTAGACAGGCACCACTGCACACAGTTTTTATGTGCACAGATGTGACTTCAGGACCTCATGCTTGTGCAGCAAGCATTTTGCAACTGAAACATCATCTTCTCAGCCATGCATCAAAGCGGCATTGCTGCAGACTTACCCAGTCTACTCGGGATTTTCATCGGGGAAGTTGTGCTCTTGTGAAGGAATATTTGCACATAAACCTCGGGTGGAAAAGTATTTGTTACATAAGTGATCTCAGTTTCTCGGAAGCCAGAGATCAGGTTCCAGAACTATCAAGATTCCTCTCTTGTTAGGCGGTGGTGGAGCACTCACTCTTCAATCTCAGTGCTCCAGAGGCAGAGGCAGGTGGATCTCTGTGAGTTCAAGGCCAGCCTGGCGTACACAGAGAGCTCCGGGCTAGCCAGAGCTGTACATTGCTTATGTTAACGACTGGAGAGAAGGCTCAGCTACAAGAGTACTTGCTACTCTTGCAGAGGCCCTGGGTTCAGATCTAGCTAGTCAGCATAGTGTAGTTCACAACTATCCCTGGTTCTAGTTCCTGGAAATCCAGCTGTCTTTTCAGGCTTCCTTGGGTATGCTGCACATACACACATGCAAGCAAAAATAAATAAATAAATAACAATAAAAAGGCAGAGAAAATAAAAATAATAATCATATCTGTGTAATAGCCCTGATTGACCTGGGCTTTGTAGACCAGGTTGACCTTGAACTCACAGAGACCCGCCTGCCTCTGCCTCCGGTGTGCTGGAATTAAAGGAGTGTGCCATCATGCCCAGCCTGGTGGCAGATCCTTTCTTTAGTGCCTGTATTTGCTAACTAAGATTTTGTCCTACAAAGCCACAACAAGCACCTAGAGGCTAAAGAATACATCTGAGGGCCAGGACTCATGCCAATCTGAAGAAAACACAAACATGACCATTAATATTTTTCCATTATTTATGACATGCGGGAGTAATGCCTGAGTGTCGTGCCATATGTACCGAGGCCAGAGGACAGCCTGTGCCCTTCCAGTCTTTCCTCTCACCACAGGGATTTCTGAGACCCAACTCAGGCAGTCAGGCTCGGTGGCAAGTACTGTTATCTTGCCAGGCCCCAAGACTGCAATTTTGTGTTTACTTAGGAAAGAAGAAGGGCTCGTGGCTGTCTGTAGGTCTGTCTGTAGGTCTGTCTGCCCGTCTTTATGGTCCTTTGTTGGCTAGCTTGCTCTGACTTTAAAATTGTAAGGAGTGTTTTTGCAGAAAGGACTTGAAGCAAGCCGAACTAGGAACCATCTGATAAGAGAGACACCTTTTGAAAGGCAATTATGAGATTAAAAATCAGACCCAGGGAAAATAAGAGGCAAGTTGGAAGCCAAGGAGGTGGGAACAGAGCGGATACACATATAAGTGCTGCTGTATGCTAACTGCACCTTCAAATCTGGCAAGCGGAGGCCAAGGAATAGCTGCTACAGTGGCCCACCTAGGACATACTTTCTTCTAACCACAGCCTTTTTAGACCCTAGCACAGCATTTGTTGACGGTGGCTTCTATGCCAGCCTGTCTTCCTGATGCTCTGGCTTGTGCCTCTTCTTCCTGATGGTTGCATTTTCTTTCAGGGACAATGACTCACCCCTCCCAGACTGTTGGACCTCACAGCATCCATGAAGAAGGAAAACTCTATGTTGTAGATTCCATAAATGACTTGAACAAACTCAATCTCTGTCCAACAGAATCACAACATCTATTCTGTATGTATGGTTCAGGCTGCCAAGGCTTTGGGACTTCCTAAAAACATCAAGGACACAGTGGATGTGTTTCCTGGGGTGGGGGCAGGGTGGTTGTCAGCAATCCCTGGGCACTAGAAATGCTGTTTAGAATGCTCCCAATCTTTCAAAGGATTCTTGGCTTTCTCGGCAAGATCTGAATACTTAAAAATCCCTAAGAGAAGCCAGGCACGTTGCAATTACAGCATGGGGAAGGGCGAGGCAGGAGAATGACACGTTTCAGGTCAGTCTGGCCTATGAGAGGTAGTCCCTGGTAGGGTTGCTTAGTAGGCGCCCACTCATGTCCCGATTTTCCCTTTAAAACTCCTGGGGAAGAATCCTACAGTGTTTTTGTTACCGGGCAGGGTGGAGGCTGCAGAGCTGGCCTCCCAGGCCTGCCCAGCCCCTCTTAGCTATTGCGTCTCTTGGTGGCCATGGTTAGGTTCGTTATATTCTCCGTTTCCCAGGGGTCTTGTGTTAGCAGAGAACGCTGAGAACAATGTTCAACACATTTACTAGTTTATAAACAAAATTGTTACAATTCTGATGTGCAAAGAGTCAACTTCATTTTCTACTTACTAATTACAAACTGTCCAATTAAAGTGTTAGAAGGGACGTGAGAGCAAAATGAAAATCTCATGAACACAAAGAGTATCTTGCACCCTAAGTGCAAGGCTCCCAGGGCCCCAGCCTTTCTAGTGTAACTGACGAGTATTCGAACACAGGTGTTAATGGCCACTTGCTATTTGCTACATGGATGCTCTAAACTGTTTTGTTTTCTACCCGGCATTCCCTCCTGTCTTTTCCGAGTTCTTCCTTTTGTCCTCGTTTCAGTGGGTTCAGATCCTTGCCCATTTATTGCAGTGGGCGTTGCTGTCAGCCTGCGGTGTGGCTTTGCTGAGGAGGCTGAAGCTGTGGAGAGCTGGAACACGAGATGTACTTGGTTACGTAATCAAGCAGTGTAATGCGTGGGACCAATTCAGAGAGGAGGAGAACATAAAATTAATCCAGCAATCTCCCTACCCCAGGGGCTTGCCGCTCTTATTCAACTTTATCTGAGCATTATTGGGCACCTAAGAGTTACAAAGTAGCTAAGGAGAGGCAATTTCCAGCACAAAGTGCTGAGAAGAGCCTCACCTCCAGAGGAAATCTATCTTGGAAATAGCTTTAAGAAACCAAAACACCCCTGGGGCTCTTTTTGTCTAATGGATATAGACCTAAGTGATTATTCTGATAATAAAAGCAATTTCCTGAGAGATGCCACACAGTGTTTGGTCTTCCACACAGGGAAGGTATCACAGCTCCATTTAGATCACTTAAGGGGATGGGCAGTCGAGTTCCCACCAATTTTCTATTTCTTCTCCAAAGAATAATTCAAGCCACTCTACTCCACAGTTAACAGTTTGCAAAGATCCTTCCACACATGTCCAAGGACATAGCCAAAGCCTACTCATTCTCTGAATTCTAACAGGAAAGATAAATAATTCCAAAACCGCTCTTCCAAAGGCATCCCAAACGCAGCAGTCACTTCCCAGGGCTGTCCAGGGAAGAAGGGTGGTGGTTCCGAGATTCTGTCGCTTTCTCTCTTATTAGCGCTAGAGGAGAAAATCTCAAATGGTGCTACGCACCCAGGAAGTGGAAGACGCGGTCTATTTTTTGTGGGACTGCTCCTGATGTTGACGGTCAGCCTGGCTCTGGTGTTCTTTGCCATCTTCCTGATAAGTAAGTACTTCAGGCAGGCTTGTCTATTGGTGTGTGTGTCCGTCGTAGCTGGCTTCATAGTTAGCCGCTGCTGCCGCTGCTGCTTGAGCGAGCAAGCACTTCCTGGCCATCAGTTTTCAGCAAAAGCCTGGGGGAGACACAGTGTCTCGAGGGCACCTTGTTGCTCCTGGATAGGGTCCTTGGGCACAAGTCCACAGCATGCTCCCACAAGGTCAGGTCACATTTCTGTTACATATTTATATAAGCTTTAAGTTTGTGACTTAGAGTGCCTTTTGCTCCAAGCTGTACACAACTTACCCTGCTTAATTTAGTTTTCTGTACTCAGTATGTAGGTGTCTTCATTACATTTAGACACAGCATACATTTCCCGAGGTTTTACACTTCCCCTCATGATTTCTCATTTGTGTTATCACCCCAGAGGTCAGTTCAGAGTAGCAAGGGCTCAGGCTAGTGGCCAGAGTCAGTCCTGGGGAAGTGAGGGCAGGCCACTTCTTCCCTGTTTGGTGCTAGCTCCTGTCCTGTCTGCCCTTGGCCTGGGAGATACATGTCATACTTTTAATTGGTGACACGGAGGCTTTGCCACATCCTGCTCCTCAGTGTGGAGACCCCTAAGCAGATTCATGTCAGCCTTCTGTTTGCTTTGGATAGCAAGAGAGGAGCTGCCTCTTTGCGATGTGTGTGTGCATGTATGTGTATATGTGCAAGCACACATGCGCTCCTCCATCAGAGCCACTACAATTCTCTCTCAGACGACCCTTTTATACTATTATCTGGAGTTATTGCTACTTTCTCCCATATCACAGAAAGCTATAAGTAACTGGGGATAGGGAGGGTCTTACTTTTTTTTCCCCAGTTTTTATTTCATGTGCATTATTGTTCTGCCTACATGTATGTCTGGGTGAAGGCATCAGATCATGTGAACTGGAGTTACAGACAGTTGTAAGGTGCCACGTGGGTGCTGGGAATTGAACCTGGGTCCTTGGAAAGGGCAAGCAGTGCTCTTAACCCCTGAGTCCCTTCTCCAGCCTCAGGAAGGGTATGATGCTTAACACCATTTGGACTGGAAGCTTAGATCTTCCCTCCTGTCATTTCTGCTTGCTTATGGTATCTGACTTTTTTTTTCTTTGTGAGATAGGATTTCACTACCTAGCCAAGGTTGGTCTTGCATTTGAGATCCTCTGTCCCAGCCTCTTGAGCTCTGGGATTATGTCGATGTTAACATGCATGTGTTGCCATGCCTGCCCTGCCTTCAGCCATTTTAAATGAGAGACAGAACTCCACGTCTTTGCAACGCTTCTTATTTAAGATCCTTTTGGAGCAGAGGAGGTGAAGATGTTGGTTGTGAGAAGACTCCTTGTGGTGTCTGAGGCTGGGTGTGTAAGAAGGGAAATTGTGTGATTTTTTTTCCTGTGGAGACAAGAAAAAAATGTCTATTTGCCCCACCCAGATAGATCAAAAGAGCTGACTGCACTCTGGCTAGCTTGGTGAGCAAGGAGTTTTCTGGGATCGGCTGTGCCACCGTGGATCAAAGGTGTGGCAGCTGCTTTTCTGCTGCTCTGCTGGAACACACAACAAAAGACAACTTAAAGGAGGGAACTTGGGGTCTCTAAAAGGTCATGTAGGAGATACGCAGCAGAGTGTCCATCAGTTTTGGTCAGCCCTCTGGGGTAGTACCCAAATGAGACCTGGCATTGAGGGAGGATGCCATGGACTCATGCCCAAGGACCCTGTCCGGGAGCAATAAGGTGCCCTTAGGATACTGGGATTCAGAGGGGTAACCATCCATCTTGCCAAGGAGACATGGTAGCAAGCCACAGACATCGTGGCAGGAGCAGGGATCTGAGAGGTGACGTCTTTCACCACAACTGAGAGAGAACTGGAGTTGGGATGAGAATATAAAGTCTCAGCTGCCCGCCGTCCCATTGCAGAATATTCCTCTATACTGTGAAAGATATGTCACTGTCATTGGCTTAAACATCTCTAAACAGTCTGCCAGTGGACCAAGTGTTTAAACGCGAGTACCTCCGCAACAGTTTGCAGCACTGGGAAGCCCGCGCCAGCATGGGTGACTGCTTGGAAAAGCTGCATCCTTAGAACTTCCCATTGGGGACTGTTTGGAGATGCTGGTGTGGAGCATTGTTAGAGAGCATTGTTAGAGCATCTCAGAAGGTGTGCCACGAGTCCTTCTCTGCCCACCAGCTCCCAAATGGAGGCTTCTTATTAATTACGGAAGCTCAGTCTATAGCTTAGTCTTGTTCCTAACTAGCTCTTAAACTTAATTAACCCATTTATGTCCACCTACGTTCTGCCACGGGGCTCGTTACCTCATCTCTCTGTGCTGCCCCTGCTGCTTCCTCCACGTCTGTCTCGAGACCCCACCTTTCTTCCTCTCTGAGTCCTCTCTGTCCCCAGAAATCCCACCTAACCTCTTCCAGCCTAGCTATTGCTCATTCAGCTCTTTATTAAACCAATGACAGTGACAGTGAATTATTTGGTATTTACCCCAAATGTTTGTTTTCACATTACTTTGCCCTTCCCCATTCCCCCGACACAGGGTTTCTCCGTGTAGCTTTGGAGCCTGTCCTGGAACTCTGTAGACCACGTTAGCCTCCAACTCACAGAGATCCGCCTGCCTCTGTCTCTATAGTACTGGGATTAAAGGCGTGTGCCACCAACTGTTCTGGTTTTTGATTTGGCCTCACTGGTTCTCCTGGTGTGTGGAATCTGCTCCCATCCACTTCCTGAGTGTTGGGGCTGTGAACCACCATTTTCTTCTCAAGTGTTTTATGTTGAGACCAGGAAGCGAGGTGAGGGACTAAGAGTGTCTTTATGATGGATGGGAGGGCACACACTTGTAACCCCAAAACTTGGCAGACAAGAGGTGGGGAAACATGAGTTCAAGGCCAACTTGAGATTTAAAAAAAAATGTATATTTTTGTTGTTCAAGTGAGCACCCTGAGCCAGACATGTTAATTTCATTATGTTTTATGTGCGTGTGTACTTATGTGTGTATGTTTGTGTGTTTCCATGTTCATGTGTATGGAGGCTGAGGTAGGTGTTGGGGCCCAGAGAAAGACACTTAGATGACTCCTGAGGAACTAAGGTTTCCAGGACGCTGGGGATTCGCTGACGCTCAGCACTCACGGGGCTCCCTCTGCTGGCCCTGCTCTAACAGTCTGCTTTCCTTTTGGAAGTTCAGACAGGAAACCAGATGGACGACGTGTCAAGAAGACTGACGGCCGAGGGAAAGGACATAGACGACCTTAAGAAAATCAACAGCATGATCGTAAAGCGGCTCAACCAAATGGACTCGGAACGGAACTGAAATGATTTCCCCATGAGTGGCCACGGATAGCAGGAGCTTCTCAGCTTGCCCGGAAGTACATAGGTTAAGGACTGAGAAAGCGCGCTTCTTCAGGTGGCGGATCCACTCTGACACCAGCTAGGTCAAGGACGGGGATCGCTCCGAAACAAGGAGTTTAGAGGTGGCAGCCGGAAAGAGGTGAACTGGATTCAGGCTAATTTCCTGCTAACTGGTTGCTTCAGCTTTGGTGGGGTTAGGGTGGTGGGTGGGTAGCATGGAGAGGAATCAATAGCGAGAGACTCAGCCCTTTATGTGCAACTACTAAGAGAAAATGAGCTTGTTTTAGAAGACTTCCGGTGTCCTAGTGAGATCTATGATGCCTCAGGTCCTCCCTGATCGATTCCTGCAGAACTGTCTATGCTGCGGTGAACCAGGCGGTCACTCCTTTCAGTAACACACAGTATTCTATAGGTGACACCCTTTCACTACAGCTTTCGAGCGCTGTTGTCTGCTGCTCCTTGGGGAAAACATGGGTAGTAGTGGTGTGTGTGCTGAAGTCGAGGGACAAAAGAAAAAGCCTACTACAGCCCACGACTGTCTCCTGAGCTCTCTTTGTGAAAACCATCTGGTTCTAGAGACACTTCCATGCATTTGTGGGAAAAGACAAGAATGTCTATTTATGCATAATTTATAAACCCTGTTAAGCTTTGTCATGAAAAAAAAAATCCCTTGGTACCCTGCTGATGACTTGGAGGAAACTGGCTAGGTGTGTGGTCTTTGCCAAATTAGAGTAGAACATTGTGTATCTGAGAACATTCTTGTTTTAGCAATAAGAATAAGGTATGCTTGAGCCGGGTGGTGGTAGTGGTGGGGGTGGTGCACATCTTTAATCAGGAGGCGGAAGCAGATGGATCTTTGTGAATTCGAGGCCAGCTTGATCCACAAGACCTTGTTCCAGGACAGGCTCCAAAACTACAGAGAAACCTTGCCTTGAAAAACAAAACAAAACAAAACAAGAAGGTATGCTGTATATGACAAAATGGGGCAAAATAAATGAGTTTAAAAGCATGAGTTTTTATTTAATTAAAATACACTGTTGTGAGTCAGTTGAAGAATGTATGGCATTTTTTTGTCATTTTGGTTTATTGAAAACATTTGAAAATGAGGTAGATGCAAAAACACATTTTGAATAATATAATAATACGTGATAGAATAACAATGAAAAATTTACTTCTACTATTTATTGACTGATTTGCACTAAAATATTTATATTGCATACTTTTTTAAAATTTGATTAATATTGTGTGGAAAATTAAAAATATAACATTTTGAGTCTGGTGATGGTGGTACACACCTTTAATTCCAGCACTTAGGAGGCAGAGGCAGGCAGATCTCTGTGAGTTCAAGGCCAGCCGGGTCTACAGAGAGAGTTCCAGAACAGTCAGGGCTACACAGAGAAACCCTGTCTTGAAAACCCCCATAAATAAATATATATTGCATATAAGTGTGTGTGTGTGTGTGTGTGTGTGTGTGTAATTTGTGTTTACCGGTATATACACACACATATATAATTTGTGTTTACTGGAAAATTTTTATTGATCTATTATGGTAAATGTCTCTTGTCATAAGGATTTATTGCAAAATTGTTTCAGAAAATAGATCTGATTCAACAGCTCTAAGAAAAAACTCATTTATTTCTGCCTACCCTTGTGCCTTTTTTTGTTCTACTTACATAGTGGACATTTCTATGCTCTGTAATAAGCAATCTTGCTCCTGAAACATTGTGAACTTTATAAAATATTTAATAATCTGGGCATCAAATTCACGTTTTCAATGAAAGCACTTTACTGACTGAGCCACATCTCCAGCCCCTGAAAAACATTTTATTCTTGTTTTTAGTGCTGCCTGTATTGTCCAGATGGAGGCATGGTGACCCCTCTGGCCTCACAGTCTGAAAAATACCACAGCTTGTAGGTTTGTACTTGGAAATCAAGAACGTCTATTAAAAGTTTTGGTGGGGCCAATGAGGTGACTCAGCAGGTAAAGGAACTTGCTAAACCTGAAGGCCTGAATTCAATCCCCAGAACTCAAATGACAGAAAGAGAGAGAGAGAGAGAGAGAGAGAGAGAGAGAGAGGAGAGAGAGAGAGAGAGACTCCTCCTACAAGTATTCTCTGACTACCATGGGCTCATGTGTGCCTGTGTAGACAGAGAGAGAAACAGACACGCATCTACACACACACACACACACACACACGCTATAACTTAAAAAATGTCGTCTGACTTCTACAAAGCACAGCAGGAGAAGGCCACGGAGCTGGCAGTAATAAGGACATAGGGCTGACAATCTAACTTACCCATTCAAATTCTGGTGTCACTACTGACTATGATTTTGGGAAAATAATGAGCAAAATTGGATGCCTATAAATTTATTTCATAGTATTATTGTGAGGCTGAAGAGAGGTGACAAATGTGTCCGAACCAGAGCAAGTGCTTAACAAAGACTAGTTAGTGTTGCGGTTACTATTGTTACAGTAATGGACTTGGCACTATGGAAACACACTGAGTATTTAAATCTTGTCTATCTGTAAAGACCTTATTATTTTAGAATCTTATTTAAGATCATGGCATCATGAGATCATCAGATATAGGATGCAAGACTATTTCAGGAGGTGACTGGTATAAGAGGGTGTCTTGTTTCCCTAGCGATTTAGTCTGGAGAACGCTAGGGTCTGCTGTTGCCTCCCTGAGATGGAATCAAGACTGGTCTCCATTGGACTCATCAATGACTTGGGAGAGGGTTGAAGGGGAGGGGAGAGTAAGGGAGGGAAGCAGAGGAAAATGTACAGCTCAAGAAAAATCAATTAAAAAAACCCTAAAAAAAATCCTGAGTCATGAAGGTCTTTGAATTTCCAAAGAGTAAGCACAATAAACTTTGTCTCTTAAAAGTTAATTGCCTTGAGCATTTCATTGTAATATTATGAAACAGGCTACTTAGTTTAATGTTTGGAAAATAATTCATCAATTTATCCTACAAAATATTAATTTAAAAAGTTGACACTCTTAATGTATATTCAAAACAGTTTTTCTTCATTCATGACTTTAATTTACTGAATATTAACAGAATTTCAAAGATCCTCAATTCTTTTTCCCTTCCTTCCTTCCTTCCTTCCTTCCTTCCTTCCTTCCTTCCTTCCTT